TTTTTTATTGAGTAAAAGTTGAAGAATTTTGGTAGTCATTGTGTATATATTTATATTTTAGATGGTCTGATTTACCTTCTCGACAATTCTATGAAAATAAAGCCTCTCAAACATTTTATGATTATTTACGTGAACGAAATCGATCAATAGATTCAAATAAAATTGTTCTCGATCTTATTAAAGATATGATGCGTCTTTTTATGAATGAATTTACATCTTTATATAATTATTCACGTTCAGTTCAATCAAATATATCTAATGCTATAATTATGGCTTGTACACATGATGGTTATGTATTATGTGATGGTATTCCACATATGAATGAAGTATGGCCTGGTATTCATATTCGATATATTCCTCATGGACATGTTAGTGCATTTTTATTTAATCAATCAGGTTTTAATCATGCTGCTGCTGAAATGTTACAACGACAAGAACCAAATGTAAAACTAAAAAAACATCTAATCATATCACCAATTTCTGTTACTACACCTAAAAATTCGTGAAGATATATATATTTTTTCATATAGATATTTTCTCGAAAAGTAGCAAATATTTCCTAGTTTTTGTGGTATGATTTGAATAATAACTCAGAGAAAAGAAAACTTTTGATCGAATATAAACTAGATAATATATTAATCGTTTTGTTTTTTAAATATAATTTGTATGACTCTAGTAAAAACATGAGCAAACATTTTTTTTTGTCCTATTTATCAGCAAATAGATATTGAGAGAACTTCTCCAACTGATATCCTCTGTTCGAGCTCATAGGTAAGACTCATAGTCATGATGAAAACATTAAACATGTTCGTGTTCTTAAGCCTTTCATGATTGTTCTATTAAATTTTCAGCATATTACAGGATATTAGCAAAAAAAACTGCAATAACGAGTCTCCATTTGAAACTTTCTCCCAATAACAGATCTCATAACAATTATTACATTCTAAAAGTTTTAGCTCAAACAAATGGATCCAAGTCAATCAATCAGACAGTGAGATCAGTCACAGATTCTTGCACGTTCATACAAGATCGTACAATTTGATTTCACTATATTGTTTGAATCCTTTACAATAACCCATACAGGTTAGAGTTCTCTTCTTTATAAATTACCATACCATCCATACGCATACATAGCCAACATTTAAATTTCTAGTAGCATAACCGGATACAGATTTATTTATATACCTTTAATCAGAATTGGAACTGGTCTTTTACCCCTCATTTGACAGAGCGTCCCCGATAACCCTAGGATCGGCTCCAACATGACTAGCAGTTGTCCTCATATTAAGAGAGAAAAATCCTCCTGAAATCTGATTGATTCATTTTTCGACCAATCAGACACCGGAGAAACATACGAATTTCCATTGTGAAGACTCCATCCTTTTAGGATGGAGAAAAACGTCTACCGTTGAACTTTTAAGGCGATGTTTTTTTTACCTTTGACCCCGACAAACAAACAGACAAACGCATTTTGTGTTTTTTTCGTATGGCCC